TTTCTCCTGTGAAAAGACTAAACAGCAACGTTTGGCTAACCCCCAGCCTTCAACGGGTTTGATTAGCCTTTACCGACTACCGTTTGAGTCGGGCTAGCATACGAATTGCCTAGATCCGTTCCGCATGTGACGTTGTGCTAAAGGAATGAACTCCCTTAGACTTGATGCTACGACTTCGAATACGTAGACTTCGCCATTGTTACGGGAATAGGCTACCCGGCAACGTGTATTATGTCTAAATCCGTTCCGCATGTGACGTTGTGCTAAGAGAGTTAACGCTCTTAGTGCTACGATATTGAATACGTAGACTTCGTCTTTCTCACGGGAATAGACTACCCGGCGACGCGTGTTAGGCGTTGACTTTAGGGTTTTTTTGGCTAACCCCCAGCCTTCAACGGATTTGATTAGCCTTTACCGACTACCGTTTGAGTCGGGCTAGCATGCGGATTGTCTAAATCCGTTCCGCATGTAACGTTGTGCTAAGAGAGTGTATTCTCTGAGACTTTGTGCTATGATGTTGAATACATAGGCTTCGCCATTGTTACGGGAATAGGCTACCCGGCGACACGTGTTAGGTGTTGACTTTATCCCTACTTAGGCTTCGGGATAAAATTCCCCAGAATCGAACTCTGGTGTCTTTTTCTTCGGAGAAAGACTAAACCGGCGACGCGTGTTAGGCGTCGGCATATCCTTTCTTAGGATTCAGGATGAAATTCCCCATGCGTGTAAGGCATGAATTCTGGTGTTATTAATAACAACCTGTCACAATATTGAATATGTGAACGGGTGTTCTTTTTAACGGTTAAGAACTAACCGGCAGCGCGGATTAAGCGCAGACTTATCCCTGCTTAGGTTTCAGGATAAAATACCCCAGAATTAAACTCGGGTGTCTTTTTCTTCGGAGAAAGACTAAACCGGCAACGCGTGTTAGGCGTTGACTTATCCCTACTTAGGATTCGGGATAAACTTCCCTGTACCTGTGATGCACAGATTTTGGGAGTCGAAAAAGGTGGTGTCTTCTCTTGGGGCAAAGACGAACCCGAAATAGGAGAGGAAGAATTTTATATTCTATCTCCCGACACTGAAGAAGAAGAATTTTATATTCTATCTTCAGCTGGAAAGGAGACTCGAGGTGGGATCTCCACCCCCAGAATCCGGAACGATGAAACTAGGAGTGGGACCTCCACTCCGAGAATCGAAAACTTCGGATGATCCTAACTGTCAGAAGGTTTGATTACCGAACTAAAGGTGAATTTCTCGTTTATCGAGAGTGAATTATGGTTTTGGTCCTAACTGTAGGAAGGTTTGGCCAAATGGGAGTTTGGGGTGACCCTAACTGTAGGAAGGTTTGATCACTTGATTTGAAAGTGGACCTCTCGTTCATTGGAGGAATCGAGAGGGGATTTTGACTGTGGTCCTAACTGTAAGAAGGTTTGACCAATTGGGAGGTTTGAGGCGATCCTAGCTGTAGGAAGGTTTGATCGCTCGATTTGTGGACCTCTCGTTCATTGGGGGAATCGAGAGGGGTTTTGGTTTTGGTCCTAACTGTAAAAAGGTTTGACCAATTCTGAATATTATGTCCAGACTCTAACAATGAGAGTGGTGAGAATTTGAATGAGAGTTTCTTATTCATTACCTTGCTGTGGTGACCGGGTTATCC